ACTACTTTAAGGATTATCTTAGCGTCGCGAGCCTGGGGAAAACCAGGGAAGGTATCAGGTAGCTGTCTCCGAGAGGAGATTAGGTAGCAGGTAGCTAATTACGCGGGGATTATTAAGGGAGCTCTTCCCCGGATTATCTTTAGATAGCAGGTAGCTTTTCGCGAGGTTAACTAAGGTAGCAGGTAAGTTTTAGATGCGGATTTAACCAAGGTAGCAAGTAATTTTTATTAAATATTCGCGGTTCTCTCTCGCCCTGTCTCTAGGTAGTTACCCTACGGGAATACAGGTGACGGATTCGCCTGGAATTTCGTCACAGGATGTTCTCACATGGTTGAGAAGACATCGAATCGTCTTTGGCACAGACATCGTCAAGATGTTTCGACAAATCAACGTGCACGACGATGACGGGGACCTGCATCGTATTCTGTGGATAGATGAAACACAACGACTGGTGACCTTCAACTCACCACAGTCACATACGGGCAGAAATGTTCCCCATGGCTCTCGCTGCGAGTCCTGCAGCAGCTAGTCAACGACGAAGGTCAACGATTCCCAGCAGCAGTGCCACCGCTAACTAAAGGGCGTTACGTCGACGACATTTATGGTGGAGCTGACTCAGAGGAAGAAACAAAAGAAATGATAACTCAACTTCAACAAATCTGCCATGCAGGCGGATTTCCACTCCAGAAGTGGACGAGCAATCACCCAGAGATACTCGAGCAAGTCAACTTGTCAACGGGAACGGCAGGGCCAGTGCAATTCGAGGAGACAATAATAAAAACTCTCGGATTGCGTTGGCATCCATCGACGGACTCATTACACTACAAAGCAAAGACCTTCAACTCAACGAACTTCACCAAGAGAACACTGTTGTCGGAAATAGCTCAGATTTTCGACCCTCTTGGATTCATCACACCAGTCATAGTCCGAGGAAAAACATTAATCCAAGAACTCTGGTTGCTAAAATCAACATGGGATGATCAACTGCCACTTGAATACGTACGACGGTGGAAACAGTTCAGGGACGAACTCACGCAACTCGACCAGCTCTCCATCCCCAGATGGCTGAGCCTATCTCCAACGATCACCAACGTACAAATACATGCATTTGCAGACGCATCGACGGTTGCCATGGGGGCAGTCGTCTATTTACGAACTCAACGAAGCAACGAAACACCAACGGTCAACTTGGTTCGTGCGAAAACGAGAGTAGCACCACTGAAGAGAATGACGATTCCACTCCTAGAGCTCACCGTAGCTCTCCTGCTGACAAAAATAGTCAGCTGGACTCAACAAACGTTGGAACTCAACGCAGAGATATACCTCTGGTCTGATTCATCGGTCGCCTTGGCATGGATCAACAGCCATCCATCACGATGGAAGGAGTTCGTTCACAACAGAGTGACGAAAATTCAAGAAGAATTACCAACAGCTGTGTGGAGACATGTTGGCGGGATTTACAACCCCGCTGAATGTGCTTCACGTGGCATATCACCGACTCAACTCAACGAACATCATCTATGGTGGAACGGGCCTGACTGGCTCGCCAAACCGCCATCAGCCTGGCCACAAAACACAACCAACACTCCAACGGAGGTCTCACTTGAAGAGAGACCAGCATCGGCTCACCCAGTGGCTGTTGAAATTAGACAGCATTCATTGGCAGAGTTCGTCAACAGATACTCCACGTTGTCTAAGGTTCTACAAGTCACAGCAACGATAAATCGAGCAATCCAACGACTTCGCAGATAACCAACGTCAGACACGCCAGTGCTAACAACGAGAGAACTCAACGAAGCGAGGATCTTCTGGGTAAAGGTAACCCAAAAACAATATTTTGAATCTGTGTTGCAGAACCTCAACGAGAACACTCAACTTCCTCGACAACATCCACTGGCCAAACTGACGCCGAGAATAGACGACCAAGGAATTCTACGGTTGGGTGGACGACTGAAAAACTCACTGCTCGCTCCAGACGAAATTCACCCAGTGATATTGCCACGGAAGTCTCGGCTAACAACATTAATCATCAACGAAGCTCACCAGAAAACTCTACACGGAGGAGTGCAACTCACCATGGCCTACATCAGACAACGATACTGGATCGTTGGAGGCAGAAGATCAGTACAAGCATTCATGATACGCTGCTCTGTCTGCACCAGGTACAGGGCAACACGAGCACAACAGCTGATGGGTCAGCTCCCAACGCCGAGAGCAACACCTTCAAGACCATTCCTGCACACTGGAATTGATTATGCAGGACCTCTTCCAATTCTAAAGTGGAGGCCCAACGGACGCTCAACCATCAACTGTCCATATTGCTGTTTTTGTCTGTTTTAGCACGTCAGCCGTTCACCTAGAGCTGGTCAACAGACAAACAACGGACGCGTTCATTGCTGCCTACAAAAGATTCACTGGAAGGCGAGGCATTCC